CTCAACATAACCCAAATTTCGACAAGAACTTCTTCTGGTTACAATCCAACATGTCACTCAAACTACACTCCACATTCTTCCCTCTCAACAACTTATGCCTCAACTCCAACCTTCTCTTCAAACTGTGCTTAAAGAACTCGGGATATCCAGCAACCTCCGAAAGCTCCCGCCCCATCACCTCTTTCAAAAACTGAATCCTCGGCCCCAATGAATTATCCACGCTCTTGATCAAAACCGGAGGGTACCCACCCACCATGGCCGCCACCTGTCCCGAATCGAACCCGCACGACTTCAAATACAAAACGTTGGGCCTCAGAATCTTATCCACATCCCGGCACAGAATCTCCGGGAAATTCACAGCCACGAGCTCGAGCAGAGGCCCGGTCAGGCCCAACGATTTCAAGAACTCGGAGGTCGGTTTTAGCCGTTTATCGACGCTGTAACCCATGACGAACGGGTGTTTGACCAGAACTTGACCGATTGCCCTGTTTCTCGATAAACCTAAGTTGGCAAAAAAATCGACCGTAAGGGAAAGTTTGGACTCGATGCTGTAGCTGATGATCCGGGGGTTTAGGAGTATCATTTTCCCGATCTGCTTCTCATTCGCCCCAAGAGCCTCGAAAAAGGCCAAAAGCGGGCAGAGCTTTTGTTCCAGGCTGTGCAGAAGGATGTGTGGGAATTTAGTAATGGCGTGAGCTATCTCTTTCGGTTTTGTTTGCAGAGATTTCAGGCATTGGACCATCGGGATGAGTTTTTCGTGCAGGTCGATGGCAAGGATTTTGGGGCACCTGCCGATTATGGCGGGAAGTTTCCTCTCGTGTATGCCGATGCTTTTTAGGTACTCCCAGTTTTCGGAGGCTTTTTCTTTGGTGATATCGTCGAGCCGTTTGCATTTTCTGGTCATTTCGTGGATGTTTTTGTCGTCAAAGCCTTGGTCTTTGAAGAACCACATGATGGAACTAACCTGGCAGCTGGTTCCCATTATCTGCTGCAAAATTTGCAGATGAAACATATTTAACAAATTATCACGGGATCGCAACATGGAGAAGCAGATGTGCTATATATAGATAGAACACAAAAAAAATCATGGGCAAAAGTAAAAGTACCATTTTGTAGTATTTGAGATTGAATGCTTGTGCTAGGAGTCGAGCATTTTCCTATAGGGTAATAAGGATAGAGGTTTACCTTACCCTAATTGCAAAAGCACCCACACTTCTTCATTGTTACAAATATTTCATTCAGGACCTTACAAATAACCCCTCGGGGGTTCCCTTTTGAAAGAACAGATTATCTTACTGGCTGCTCCAATGCACAGACAGAACCTTCATTCGCCAGTTCTTTGCAAGTGAAATGTCGGGAGGGTTGTAATTTTAGAGAGTTCTACTATCATAAGGACCAGAAAGCAAGCCATAATCTAAGAACAATGCTCGATTAGAAACAATACACTTACTCATAATGTTGTGAAAAGATGACAATATGGCATACGAATTAAAAAAACGAGAAAGTAAACAACACAAGATTTACGTGGTTCGGCAATGTGCCTACGTCCACGGCGGCAGCGATATCCTTTTTATTATCAATATCTCTCAATACACCATGTATTTATATTATAATCCTACAAGGTATAAATTTACTCAAATACCCCGTACCGTACCGCGGGGGCTCCGCCCCCGCACTCCCGGCCCAACTAACCGACCCAGCCTCCTTCCTTTGTCAATATATGAGCCATACCAACAAATAAATTAAAGGAAGACAGCTAAAAATGTAAACGAAGCTACAATTTCCACGAATTCCCGGGACTATTTGAAAATTTCTTAGCAAGGATAAAAAGAAAAATATATAACTTCACTACTCTAATCAATCCACCACATTCACAATGGAGCACATCAGACTAAAATTTCCACCAATTTACATGAATCTCATCGGCAAATTACACTTAATTTAGAGAAACACTGCACAAAAATTTGATCAAAACCAAAGCAATTGCATAGTTTCAGCAACACAGGATAATTTACACCAACTACATAAACTCCAATCTCAAATAGCTTCTTTTCACATTTTTTTTTTCAGAAACAAANNNNAAAAAAAAAAAAAAACAACAGCAAAAACACAGAAACATGAGGTTTTTCACATTATGTTTTCAAATTACTCTCCAGATTGCTTCAAGAGAAAGAGATCTAGCAAAGCATGAACAAAAAGCGAAGAAGGGAGAACAAGTTACCGACCGCACCTGCGTCGGAGCTCCTCCAAACGCCGGTAACTAATGGGCGGCCACCGTCGCCGTCAGTCGGAAAAGCGAGCAGAAACCTCTTCCCTTTGTCCTCTACTTTTTGTTATTTTATTATCCGCAGAGATTTATGGTATGATAAATAACTTAAATTTTTGACATAATATAAAATTTTATTCTTTCAGAATCGCATTATTACCCAAATTAATAAAAAAAAAAGTAATAATTACTTAACACTATTCATCATTTCCAATAAAAGAAATTATGTCAAAATAATAAACTGACTAATCATAATATTGTTGTTTAGTAGTGCTGGAGAGTTTTGAACTCGAGCTCGAAGATTTATGGAGCCAGTCTAGCTCGACTCATTAACTAAATAGCTAGTAATCAAGTTCGATTACAGTTTATTTATTAATATAAACAAGTTCGAGTCTAATTTGACTCATTAACTAAATTGCTAGTAATCAAATTCGATTTCAGTTTATTTATTAATATGAACAAGTCGGTTTCTAACCTTAACGAACATAACTCAAATATTAGTTGAATTAGAATTAAATAAAAATTACTCCCTCTTATTTTTTTAAATGTCATTCTAGTTTTTTCAACTATTTGTCAAATAAATATCGTTTTGGATATTTTGTACATATTTTTCAATTATTATCTTCATTTAGCCAATAAATACATTACGTCTTTTCATATTCACTCATCACTTCTCGACCCTAGCTCCGACCAGCAGCACCTTAAGTCCAGTTTCAGCAACTTTGAAGCTTTAGATCCGGTCCCAAAGCTTTAGATCCAAGCCGGTTGCTCCATCTCCTTCATTTTCTTACCCGATCTATTTTTCGATCCACCAGATTCGATCGATTTAAGCTTGAGGAGAGTCTAGCCTCCGCCTGCTACACAGTATATTTTAGATATTTCAGCATCTGCATTCGCCGTTTTCCAGGTGATGGAGTCCCGCGTGACGCGTGAGCAAATATGTAATATTGGTCCAGCTTCAGGACATTTTTGTGAAAACATGTCATATAGTATTGGAACATGTTTGAATTATCTATGTTTGTTTTATGCTTGTGTGCTTTCTGAACTTGTACTTGCTTCCGCATGTTAGACTTTTGTTTCAAATGTCATATTTCAGACTATTATTTCAGATGTCAGATTATGTCAGATTTTCAGAATATGCATGTTTTATCCAATATTTAAAAAAAAATATTCACTCTTCACTTTTTCTCAAAACATTAATCTCTATCTTCATTAAATAAAGTTATTATTGACAAAAAAAAAATATTCTTAATTAGTGTGCAACTTCTTAAAACGACATATATTAAAACAATAATGCTAAGGAGCAAACTGTTGCCTCCGTTACGGAGTCAACAACCAATGGGACAGCTTAATGTAGGACTGTCCCACATGAGTCCAATGTGGGACAACCCCACATGGAGTTGTCTCATTAGTTGTTAGCTCTGTAACCGAGCCAACAGTTGGCTTTTTAGGATTACTGATATTAAAAATAAGAGGTAGTACTATTTTCGAGCTAGATGGTTTAGATTAGTTTTGGGTTAAATTATGGGCTTTGTGTAATGGGCCCCTTTATCATAATATAAACATTTTCCATTGCTCGAGGAGATATTGTTAGCCGGAAATCCAAATATCCAATCAAAATTATTCTCAAACGAATTAGCTTTATCAACATAAAGGAAAGATACTATGGTTGTCAAAACCAGACCAAACCGACCGGTTCGGCCGGTTGAACCAGGAAGCGGACAGCTGACATGTCCGGTCACCGGAGTGAACCGGTTGCCTGCGAACTGGTCAAAACCAGCGTTCCTTCAATTGGGCTCGAATATCAGCTCGTTACACAACTGAAAACAAATGTGTATATATGTTATAAAAGGGACATTGATTCATTTCAAATCATCAACAATACACTTCGACACATCCAACCGAACAAAAATCACACCAACACGAAGATGGGCAAACACGGAAAAGAAAAGGAGAAAGCACGATAGTTAGTATGGGACGTAATATTCTACGCCAAGCAGGTAAAGATGATAGTATATCTATTCAAATGTAATTCATCGACCAAACTTCATGGATGGCAAACAAGCAGATGGTTTGTTTTATTTATCCAGCTACTTTCCTGGTATAAGACCTTCTTGGAAGACCAGCTTCTTGCGAACGGCCCGCCAACAAATCCCATCCTCCAGCTTTCATAGGCGGTGGCATAGACGAGCGCTTCGTGAGCAGCCGAGTGCCAGGGGACAATGCCATGTTTCCGAGCTTTTCGGCTGCATATGAAACTGACTTTGTTTTACCCAAGTTACCCGAATCTGAAAAAAATAAATAAATAATAATAATAATAATAATAATAATCAGTTAGCTCTTTGCACATGTTAGCTATAGATTTCTTGTTTTATTATTCTTTTTCTTTTTAATGATTCATGTGGAAATTGAGTATAAGGTCTTAAGAGAACCCACAATGCATTAGATCCAATTTTACATATGTGGCACTAAAATAGACTCATGTCTTGAATGATATGGACAAACCCAAGTAGAAAAAAACCCAAAAGTTATCCAGTGCAAAAATAAATGCTACGTCTAGAATACATCTCAACCAATAAAAATGATCTAATATGTTTTATCTATTAAAAGAAAAATTAAATTAGGCATAAATGCTGATTGTTCAAGTCTGTACTTGGGTCCAAGATAAACTCAAGAGTGGACTTGGCCTCATTTTTTTATTGTCACATAAGTTAGACTATGTCCACTTTTAATTATATTGAAAAATATACTTTTATAGACTAAATCAATTTCCTACATGACATGCTATTTTCTTAAGAGACCCGCTCTAGAGAACAAATTTTATGCAAAGGTTCACATGCCTCAAACAACAACAACAACAACATACCCAGTATATTCTCAACTGGTACCCAGTATATTCTCAACTGGTTGGGGTCTGGGGGATCAGTTGTACGCAGACTTTACCCTTGTAATTATACAAGGAGGTTGTTTTCGTAGGGACCCAAGGTGCATTGGCGTCGTTTGATATATATTTTTTTCCTAGAAACTTCACTAATAGAAGAAGCACTAGAATTTAATTGAGTCATTTTGATCTAGTCCATTATTAGCACTATGCCAGGAAAATTGTCAACAATGACTCTTCTAGCTCCATTGTCTAGTAAATCAGTAATTAAAAAAGAAATGATTAAGGTAATAGATGCTTTACGCTTATTTGGTCCGTTCAATCCAGGTGGCCGATACTTCGGCTGTTGCTT